GCTTTATTATACAAAAAATAAGAGATAAAATGTTGGGTACTAAAGATGGATGGTCTCATGACTTCCGGAGACGTTGCATTCAGACGGATTCTTAATAATCGTCAGTTGTTGATGTGATTGCCTTATCCTGACATCAACTACTCCATTGAATCAATTTCGGGAATACCGCTGTGTTCGTTACTACATATTAAACACCCTTACTACATAACAATAAAACAGTTTTAAAGATATTTTAAAGCCGACAACAATAACGAGGAAAACCTGTAAATAGAATACACTCTTCATCCAGAAAAGCGTTTCCCGAGAGACATACAAATAGACTTTTAAAGGAAGATGCAAGCTTAACCTAGTCGACGTTAAATCTAAAATAAATATGCTCGCTATAAAATAGCTTCGTAAGCACAAAAATAGTCTTAAGATTCTCCAGCGTCATATTATTTTCGCTGTCATCTCTTCGTCCGAACTAAAAGCTTCTGGTGTTTAAAACAACAATAAGTTGATACGAGATCTGTCTCCAAGATGTACGGTAGCTGCATCGATGGACAAACAAGTTGCTCACTCAATACATACATATATATAAACAGGTAAACGACGCGCCTCATAAATAAACACGTCCCATTTTTGGCGTCCAATGATATATTAACATGTTTTTTCTCCACGAAATGTCCGTTTCTAAATAACATTTAAACTATTAAAATTATGTTACCTTCGAAGGGCATTCTAAAATATATTTTGTAAGGATATGTTAATTTTTTATATACACTTTCAAAGGCTTCGTGGCATATACAGGATTGAGAGGCTTTTACGAGTAATGAGCTAAGAAATTTAGGATGTCTGGTTCGTTTACTTGTAACATATGGCGGACGGACCCATACGAAATGAGCAAGTTAAGAATATTTAAACATAGTATTATAAATTAATTTAATATTATTGAAAAGTGACTTCGTGTGACCATTAATAAGCCTGGCAAATAAATTAATAAAAGATTGATTCACTGTATATTAATAATACAGTAATTATGAAAGGAATGATTAATTGTACAATAAAATTACTAAAAGCGATAACCTCTGGGTCTTATCAATGCATAAATATTATCTATCGGTGAAACAATCACCGGTTTGTATTACGACTACTTAAATTAATATAATCGTAAATTTTAAAAGCTATTTATCGTAATAAAAAATAAACACTATCTTTTTTTTCGTAAAGCATGAATTAAAAGAAGATCTGTAATACATACATAAATTAAAAGTGTTATATATCGTTCTGCGTGTATGTTGTTTTGCATGTGTGTGTGTATGCCTGTCTCAATTATAGTTACAGAACAGTGTAACAGTAAACTTCATCATTGTAATGATGCCAACCCCTCCCCGTCATGTTGTTTACTCAGCACTAATGATCTGACAGCGTCATTTTAAACGCGCCATATTCATTTAGAGCTCTCTAAACGCTGATAGGGGATGCAGTGCGGTTCGTTGAAACATGAAGACACCACGAATGTTAGATTAAAGTTTTCACAACACAAATACAGTAAATGAAACGTGAAATATTTTATACTGAACAATGCTTCAAGTCTTATTAGTAGTAGTATTATTTTTAAACCAAAGTTCGATCAACGAACGTTACATTCCCTTTTTACTTTCTATCTTTGATAGTTCTAGTGGACGAGATACGTTGACTGCGTGCCAACTAGTGAAAGATAACCGGCCATAAACAGACTGCTGTAAATAAATGCTTATCTACGCTTTTTTGGAAACGATATTAATGCATTCCGGAACGTATCACTCACACATTTGTTGCATTCTGCAATAATATTATTAAACACTAACAAAAATCATTATTACTAATTTTAAATCAATATTAAGACAAAGCATATATGTACAGTAACATAGCTTATCTACAAGTTTGTTACAATAATCAATAAATGTATTTCGTAAGTTTTATTACAAAAATATTTACTTCAATGTCAAATTCATTTTATTTAACTTTTGATGTACTTGGTATATGATGTTAGGTTTTAAAGAGTTATAAGATATGCTAGGATTAAAGCGGATGCGTTCTCTGTTTAGACTAAAACAATAACTCTTTAGCGGTGACGTCGGAATTTTTGCTGAGGCAAAAAAGGCAGACCGCCTTTTTTTTGTGCTTGCATTGTTCGGTGACGTGTTGTCTATGCTTTTAGACGAGTGATTTTGAAAAGATTTATTGTCTATGATACTGACTGTGTGATTTTAGTATGTACATTGTACTCTCGTAGGTTGTAAGAGAATTGTCGAATGTTGGTCATTTGTACTAAACAAAAAATAAAATATGAAGATAAAAATTGTGATAACAAAATCAGTTCAGTAATAAAAATAATCACATTTATATGTGAATGCAGTAATTTTTTTACGTGCATTATTTTTATTCGTAAACGATTTGTCAATGGTCGTTAAACCGGATTTGAATAAACTGAGGTGTGACCAATAAAATAAATCTCGTGGACCCATAAAGATTCCTCTTAACTTTTAACGCTGAAACATTGTAATAAAACATCGCTATCTGAACATCGGGAACGATCTCATTTCGGGTTATTTTTGATGACCAACTTCATCATTCCTGTGAATACAGACAGTACGTCAAGAACTACTAAAGGGTAAATTTTGTGACAATGTCAGGATGAGAATCTTTCATCTAGTATGTTCGTGATCAAGGTTGTTGCAAAGTAACCGAAATTTTGGAACTATTCATTTAAAATACTAAAAATCTCGTAATAAATCCGCAAACATTAGTTTTATTTCAATGAATACTCTCGAAAATCTTAGATCTTATAAATATAAATGTTATAAATAGTTCTTGTAGTGTTAGTACATAACTATCACTACTAATTTACCAAAGAAGACGGAACAGTGTATATATGTAATAGTGTTGTAACTGATGAAACAAAACCCGTCCAAAACGGGCCGCCTTGATTACTCCAGCGGAGTGCACCCTTTTGACATCGCCTCACCATTGTTCAGAAACATACTGGAATTGTAAAAGCGGTTCTAACAAAATTTTACTTACACTAGAATATGTTCTGACATAACTCTAATGATACCCATTTTGTTTTACGAAGTCTTTTTCAAATCCAGGTTAATATTCTATATTTGATTAAATAAATTTAACTAATCCATTTAGTATTAATTCCTACTAACTTAATGTTATCGCTTACAAATTTTAAAATCTGTTTATAATATACAATGTATGATATAATGCCGCTGGCCACAAATCATAGTGCTGCGTGGGCGAAGATATGGGTTACTTAGCTCATATTGTTATGAATTGGGCAGAGATAATTCGTTTTATGGTGAAATAGAGATAGTTTTAAATTAACGCTATCTCCGCCTTCAATTAATATGAACTCGATCTGTAGTAATGACTACAGCTTACTGACTATCAACTTGTTATCGCGTTAAAATAGTTTTTTAGCTTAATAACAATGATTTGTGATTAAAGTTTGTTTGGAACCTTTACTAATTTGGAGTTTGTTGTAGTTTTTCGTGTTTATAAAGCCTTAAGCATCGATGAGATGAAGATTGAGTAACCTCTAATCAGTTTCGTGTGGGTTCAATATTTAGATGTTCAATTTTTGGCTCCTCGTGGGTGTAAAGTTAGCCAAAAGAAGATACCCTGTTGAAATATCTGTGGCTGTTGAAACGAATGATAAATAGTTGGTATTTTAATTGATGTTAATTAATAAGTGCGTCATTATTTTGAACTTTAAAGGTTTAACTAAAGTAGTAACTTAAATCCAATTTTTGAGATGAAGGCCGAAATCATTTTCCTACTTCCAACAAATAAAACTAATTTCTTCTACTTTTATAACCTACCAGGTGTACAGGAGTAATCTAATTCAATAAGCTAGTTTGTGTGCCCTGCTTTGCGCTGTCTATTATTATTTTGAAGATCACCGTATTGAACAAGACAAACAGACAACAAACGTCAAAATTTAACATTAAATTCTACGAGGAGGTCTAAATATTTTTATAGCAAAAGCAATTTTATTATAATATCAATAGAGAAGTGTATGGTAACACGGAATTGTACCAGAAATTACTATAATAAGGTCTCGTTGCCGTTGGCTTGTTATGGCTGTAATTATTTCCCATAACAAATATATAATGAAATTAGTTTTGATTAGTAAAAATTATACCTTAGTGGGCTATCATTAGTGAATATACATACCGAACTTAAGAGGTACTCTCATTATGGTAATAGATAGCTTTACGACATGATCACAGTTACGGATACTACAGCATCCGTTTAAAATATACGAAAAAACATTTAAGATACATCAGTCTTTCAAAAATAATAGATGTTATATACTTTATATTAAAGTATTTGTTTTTAAATTTTCTTCTAAATAGAACATACAGTCCAAATGAGTCCCTCGAGCTTTTTTAGAGACTTTTTAGATATATAAGTTATATATGACATTTATTTCGTTCTTTTTCAAATACTACAATCCAATTTTAATACATCTTCCGTACATACTTAGTACAATAAATTATTTAAAGTAATCATTTAGCACTTCTAATTGTAAACGTTTAACGTCTATTTATTTTTGTTCATAAAGTAAGCAACTTCAATAAATAATTTATCTTTGGCTGATTCTGAATAACTTTAACTGTATAGCTTTCCATGTTAATTTATCCTAAATAACCTCGGTCTGATTATGGTAATTAAAACAATTAAACTTTACAAGCAATCATACAAATAAATATAATGCTCAGGAACTTTTTCAACAAAAATTCAATGACTTTCTTATTTAAACTTTGACACGAGATTTTGATAACGGCGAAGACATCGTCAACACATATATTTGTTTTAACGTCAGATAACACAATGTGAAATAATTTATCTCTGAATGTGAATAAATACAGAGTGTGAGATAAGAGCCAACAGATTTATAAGTTCTACACTAAAGATAACATTTTTATTATATTTGAAAGTCTAATCTAATCTAGGACAGAACTAACCTTTGCATTCGTTAGCGTCGCGGGCCGTCGCTCGCCCCCACGGCCGGTCGAAGTGGAAGGGCTTGCATCTCTCGCAGTCTCTTCCGGCGGTGTTGTGTTTACAGTCGCAGGCCAGCTGTGTCCCTTGACCCTCGTCCTTGGACGGGATGCACCTGGACGCGTGTCCGTTGCACTTGCACCTCCCGCCGACAGCGAAGTCGGAGACCGCGTAGTGCTGGCTCCCGGCAACCGCCTGCTTCTTACTGTCCACCTCGTCACCCTCGTTCACCATGTGCAGTCGGTTGAACACGACTCTCACATCGGTGGCCGTCACCCAGTCTTGTAGTACCGGAGATATGTCAAAGTTAGCGGCGCTGGGGCGACCCTCCAATGTACTGAACGCCAGCCTCGCACCCCCTGAACTCTCGCCGGCCAATCTATGGGAATCGGAGCATCTTGCTTCTTGTTCATTAGCGGCGGTCACGGTGGCTTTATTCGGCCGTCCGTACACTCGTCTACATTGGCTCGAATAGAATTGAAATGGTTGCCAAGTGACACCATAGTCGGCGCTCTTGTAGATGGCCACGGAGTCGGGTCTCGCTGCTTTCGGACAGAACTGCAAGCTGACATAGGTCAGCTCGTACTTCTTGCCCAGGGACAGAGTGAGGGAAACGTTATCGGGAGGTGAGTCGTAGGAAGCGGGAGGAAGAGCGGCTGATCTCCAGCAGGTCACGTCGTGAGGATTGTTCAGATCGGTCAAGTGAGCGGGGGGATTCCGTTTATCTTGGCGACTGGCATCACAGACCCTGCACGAGTTCTCAGGGTTCTGGTCGCCGGGAGGGTCGCAGAGTTTCTCGGGACCTCGTCTTCCGCATATGGAGGAAGCGACGACCGGGTTCCCGAAGGCGGCGTTGACGAAGTCAGGAATGCACCGACGGGGCCGCGTGTCCTCATAGCAGGGGTCGGGCGGGGCGGCCGCTAGGGCCAGGGCCGCGGTGGCGAGCAGGGCCACGGCGCGGGCGGGCATGTCACTCGGCACTCACTCGCGGCACACGTACACTCCGGTCCGACGCCGCCGGCAGACTGACTGCCAGTCGCCAGTCGTTGGCGGGGCGGGAGCTTACGAGCTTACGCGCCCAGCGACTTTGTTAGTGAAAGTTTTTTCTTCTAGTCGTTTTATTGCCATTTATTTACTTTTATTGTTTCCATTAATTGTGGATTACAAATTGTTAGAAAAAAAAATAAGATATTTGTAATTGCCGACCATAGATCTTTTTATCATTTACTGTCTATTCGAAAACAGTCAGTCTTAAAGCTTTATAGAACTGATGATGTTGTGATATTTTTCATTCATATTTCACTATCGAACGTTCTATAAGATAGATTCACACGTATTCAATATATGTATTTAGTTGTACATTCACACGGACCTCTAGTATAAGAGGGGTTTTGATTTGCTAAGATTCGTCTGGGTCTGTTCCTAACCACATTAGGGGCATTCTTTCATTAACAACAATGCTGAGTTACTTCTATTGTTTATAGTATTGGAACTGTGAAGTACAATTGTAATCGAAATATACATATACCTATACAGATATAGCGTGTACATATGTGCCTAAATATATAACTAGCATAAGTTTGGAATTGTTATATAAAGGAAAGAAAAGACACATCCAACAAACTAACCTTTTATCAACGTTCAGAAATTCAAGCTCTTGTAAGTTATAAGAAATCTTTTTAATATACCTTTCATATTGTATTGAATTCTTAAGGACGGAGTGTCATAAAAATACATCCTATGGCTAACATCCTATAAGTTTTGAGAAAGCTCATCAAATATTATAATTCCGAACGCGTCTAAACATTTCATAAACCCATTGAGGTGTTTATGATGTAGTAGTATATTAGTTACTCACACCATACACCAAAAATGAATTAGTTATTACAACATAGACGTACAAACAGACATCTTATTTATGTTTATTTTATATATAAGTGCGAAATCTTATTTATTCACGATTTGTTATATATATTTGTTATTTGGGACGGGCGACCGGGATAGGCGCTTAGATGATGATGATGATGATTCCCGATTTTTTATATAATTATGTATACATGAAAAAATGAATTAAATATATGTAATTGTTTCCATAGCCGATATATAGGTGTATGTGAGTAATACATTTTGAAAACATGAATATCCTTCTCAAATCTGATGAGACAGCTATTTACATAATTGAATCTCGAATACAAATCCTTAATTTAAAACCCACCAATAAATTTACTTTATCGGTCAATAGTATTAATAAAACAGAATACAATTACAAAAAAAAAGAGATCCGAAGCATAAAATTTTCTCCATAAAATACGATATTTACAAATAAGTCAGTTTACAATTTTAAATGAAACAGGTCTTAGACGTAGCGGTTATCTTGATTTATGTGTTTGTCTGTCACAGCTCACAGCCTTCCCCTCGCGAGCGATCTCGGAAACACAGCTGGAATTACAATATTATTGAAACACCTCTCGGTGGTCTGAAGTATTTAAAAACTATTATAATGGATACCGAGATTTTTAATAGACTTAGATTTCTTACAGTCTTCGAAGGTTGGTTGTGTTTTGAAGCTTAAACTAAAACTAACTATGTAATAAAAACTAACTTAAATCAAAATTAATTAGAAAATACATAAAGAAAAGTTCTTCGATACAAATCAGTTGTTTTAAAGCAATATAATTCTTAACTTAAAGATCGAAAAATCATTCGCAAAATAAATAAATTTCAACAAAATAGATAATACACGTAATAAATTAAAAACTAAATATTTTTAAAATCAACATAATTAATTAAATTAGTGATATAAATATTTTAATATGTCACAATATTGTAAATTACAATTCAGATAACGCGAGACCCGCATACTTCACTAACATTTAATATAATCTAATAAAAAACAGACTTTAAAATAAAAACATATTCACCCTATTAAGACTAATGTCATTAAATAATATGACTTCAATTAATATGCACTGAACTTGAAATAGATAGCAATACTTATATAAACTTTTATAATATTTTAGGCTCAAAAGGACTCATAACCAGAGCGGTAAAAACATTTACAAAAAAAATAAAGACGCTTTTATCATGTAAAGACTACCGATACTGGTGAAAGAGTAGTTTATGAAACTTAAGGTACTTTTAATTTGTCTGTCCATATACATGTTTGTAAATGGAAAAAATGTATGAATGAAGTTTTTGAATTCTCTAATACATCAGAAATTATTGTGCCTGACATTCTTTTATTTCAAAATAACATCCCTTATATTATAATCTGTGTGATTATTTTAATCCATTATGTTATTTCTTTACCTAAACTTAATTTATTTAAAAATCTCTAAAACCTTAGTCCGATGTAAACAATTTAAAGAACCGTGAGAAAAAATAGTTCGTGTGGTCGTGTCAATTGAATTTTTGCAACGTACAATTACTTTAAATCGCTTTAAAAATGAAACAACTCAGTAAATAGCGTAATTATTATTGATATTTCTTTAACTTAACGGCCATTTCGATATAAACTTTAGAAAGAATTAAAGGTTTTATAAGCTTACTCTACTTTATTTTACCTTAATAGAATTTTTATTCTTTTCTTAATCTATCAATAGCTTAAACATTTATACTGACAGACCATTACTACTCGTATCATTACACAATCAAATATATTATGGAACAACAAAATTTTGGACTAGTAATTTAAGAATCTCTGTCACAATTTAGAGAAACGTCAACGTCACTGTCATTACAATTGAACTTCAAATAACCAATGGCATATGTCAAAGAAGTCAAGTTGAACTTCGACTCTCATCCATGATATTTATAGTATATAGGTAATATCTATAGATGTTATTATTTCTAGAAGATCGTGAAGATAATACAATCACGTGCCGCATGCACCACGCCGCGTATAGACAACTTTTAATTTTCCTTTTCTGTACGCTCGATATCAAAAACTTATTGCGTTTTAATAAATATATTTTTATCATTATTGGAATCTATTTTTAAGCTTCTTCCCTCTGGAGTGATGTTATATGTTTGTATATTTGATACAAAATATTCAGTTGATATTTTCTTAAACATGATCGCATTTTAATTTCATTTGTGATAAATATAGAACATGTTTTACAATAAAATTGAAATAATATATATTTTTTTTTAAAACAAAGAAATACAGTGTATTTAAATTCGTGAAATACTTCTTCTTTTTTATACTGGCACATAATATATTATCTTAGATTATTTAAATAGCAAACCTTTAATGCATATGAATATTCAAAGTAAATATATACTTTCAATATCTATATAAAGCTAATAGCTTAGTCAGTGGTGGCCTAATGGTTAGAGGGCCCGCCTCTCGTTGCCGAAGGCGCGGGTTCGATCCTGACCCGAGCAAGTACCAATGTGATTTTTCCGAGTCATATGTACTTTCTAAGAATATTTAGACATCACTGATTAATGCTGATTCCCAAAAGAGGGTTGATGTCAGGCAGGCGGCCGGTCGTAAAAACAATTAGCCAAAACTATTCACAACATGTAAGGCAGACCCTGGCTATAGCCGGGAAATTGCCAGGTAGAAGAAGAAGATCTATATAAAGCTAACATTATATCTAAGCTCATAATGCCTAGGAACTGAAAATAAATCATTTTATGTTCAAAATGCATATATGTATAACCTAGACGGTAATTAATTCTATCTTATTATGCTGACTGTACGCGACTGTACTCCGCATATAAGTAAGCACTACCAGTACACTGTACCTTAGTTTATAGATCGTACCATTCAGTCTGTACTATTCACATTTGAATTATAGTTTTGAATCAGAACTTTCATATAAAAATCGTTAAATAGTTTTAATAATTGACCAACGGTCCTTCAATGAGAATAACTTTAATTGTTCCCTCTCCTGATACACAATTCCATCTCGAGTCGTAAATTCATTAAATACCGCTGTCGTTTCTTGTTTGCTGATTATGAAATAGGACTTCTCATGCCGCGGCCGGGGGAAGGGTTGTCTAATTTATTACTTTAATAGCATAATGTTTTGTGGAATTAACTTATATTCAGGCAATTACTCAAACGGAACGAGTGACACCAACGAATTAATGAATTAAAATGAAATGGAAACACTCAAATATATAAATAAATGTTTAATACTTCGTCATCAAAGCGTATCATTAGTTTTTGAACGACTATGAAAACTTAAAATATCCTTAAACATGAGATATGTACGTATGTCAAACGTTAAAACAATGCTCCCTAGGTCGCTCTTTGTTTCCTACATTTGCCTAATGACGGCCATTACGGCCATTGTCACACAAACATCACTGTAACTACAACACAGACTTGCTCTGATATTGTCTTTCTTCAGAACATTACATTACTATTCATTCCACAAGTTTTAGAAATAAATCTATTATTTTTTTCAGCAATAAAAACATTTGAAGACGGACATTTTTATTAAGGATAAGATTTATTATATAAAAAGATTTCGCGAAACTCCGATATATATCAGACTGACGATTACTTATTGGTCTACAGTCTAGACGAGATTATACTTTCATGAACAGTTTTATTTCATTTACACTGAACGCTTACCGATAGCAACATTGAATTACAATCAACCTCATCACTACAACAAATACAACATTATTTGTATTAAGCAATATAATATTAAAACCATAACGACAATATTGTATTAAGACTGCGTACATTACTTGTATGGAGAGCGCGTTCGTTGACTTTCGCATTGTGAGATGCAAACTGTTACCGAGTTATAGCAAAAGAGGCCTTTCCATTGACGACGAGCTAAATATTTAATTAACAATGGATGACAACAATGCCAGAAATGTATATCGCACATTAATATTGTTTTCACAGTCATCTGAGGAACATTAATTATGGCTTAAGAGAATGTAATAATGTCTCAACAATAATACAATTCAGTTACAATATTAATAAGAAGCTTGTAGCGCCA